CTTTACTCATTTAGATCCCCAGTGCCAAAACCAACAAATCTAGCTATGAGCCAGAATATCTAAATCGAATGGTGTAAGACCAGAGCTAAAAATGGAAAACCAGAAGAGAAATCATCTCATAGATTTCTGTAAGAACACATGTTACAGCTGGGTGTTGAATGCAGTGAATGTGCTGATTGTTCTCCATTGGTGTAGCTGGTGTGTGGTAGCTTGTCAAATGAGGAGACCAAGTAGAAGAAGAAAAGGGAAATACCTCCCCCCAAACCCTCTGCCAGGGCTGCCCAAGGAAATCCAGGAGATTTGGGAAATACTTAGTCTCAGGAATATTAAGACCTTCTTAGTTCAATTAGCTTGATAAATGAAATACATAGTTCTCTGGTGATCTATGTGATATTGGGCAAGATATGATTCAACAGCAATGCCCATTCAATACAGCTTCTACGATGATGTTTGATGGTTTTAAATAGGAAGTGTCATACCATATTGCACAATAGAAAATCTATTTTCAATCCAGATTCCAAGCAGGAAGTAATTCTTCCCACCAAAAGTGTTTAAGATGCTCCTCCCACGGCCAGGATATTGACACAGTGCTGGTTAGGCTAGAGAGGACACACACACACACACACACATACCCACTCTACCCACTCCAAAACAACAAATCACTCACACAGAGGACTCAGGCTGAGACAGGGACCTACAATCCCACACAGCCTTTCTCAAAGACTAGTGGTAAAGTAGGTAGCTAGCACAGAAAGGTTTCCATGGAAATTAGCCAATAGACTTGTTACTTAAAGGCTGTACTTGAGCCAGTGAAATATAGACAAACAATGAAGAATTTGCTAGGGGGCTCCAAAAAAGTGGACATGCCAAAACAGATCGCAGAGAATAAGACAATTTGGGGCATTGAAGAGGGTCCTCAGGTGTAATGTAAACTCTGACAGTTGTTTTATTTTTTCTTTTTTGTAGTGCAGGTGACTGACTTAAGCTTTGATTGCAGAGGCATCCCCTTCAAAGACGGCTACCTCAAAAAAACACATCGCCAGCCATGTGACTCGATAAAGAGTCAGGCTGCCTACCCCACTGAGGCTCCTGTGTTTTAGAGATCTTGCTTGATTTCAATCACTGACCATTTGGGCCACTTGTTTTTTCTCTTCCCACGCTTTAAATTCCCGCTCTTATGTTTTAAATTCACCAAAAAAATTCACCATGAAACCCTAGGCATCTACCCTCAACTCCAATAAAAGCAGAACCCCGGGCCCATGTGTGCTCTCTCTCTCTACCTCACTGTGTGGCCCCAGGTCTGCTGTGTAACTTCCAGGTCCTGTAAGTAATAAACCTTTACTTTTTCAAAGTTTCCTGATGGTCTTGCAATCATAATAAGAACCACAAGGGCTGGTCCAGCCACAACACTGGTTGTTGATAGGCTGAGACTGACACACAACACCAGGTCATGGAAGAAAAACATAGTTTGAATTCAAACTATTTCCTAGGCCATCCTGATTAGGGTTGTTATTAGTTCCTTGGAGAGAATGATCTGGAGATTGATATGAGAAGTCTCTGTATATCTTTTAGAATTTATTGTACATACAATATGTAATTATTTGTATATCTATATATGTATAGATGTACCTATATATCTATTTATGTATAATGAGCCAAACACAATTCTCTTTACAGAGTAGGCATTTATTAATCCTAACAAATACTGCTGTTGCCTTCATAAAATTCTTAGTTTAAAACCTTATTTATGTATCATGTCTGTCTGTCTATTTTCTATTATTCATCTATCTGTCTATGTATCTTCAAGCCAAATGGGCTCTATTTGTCACAACAATGAATACTCTGATATCCAGAGTAGGTAAAAATCAGTTGTGTGGTATTCCTCAATGAGTTCTGATATATTAAATATTTCTCACTGAATACTACACCATACACTATCATAAGGATACAGTCATGGTAATTAGTGTGTAAGGGGAATGCGCCAAGAAGTGCAGACCTGAGTAATACAGGATTTTGGAGGAATCTGGTGTCCATCTAATGCTCTCTCACAGATTTTAATATACATTCCACTCTTGACATATATTTCAGCATAGGGAGGTGGAAAAAATATGAGTTTTAGAGTCCAACAGATGGGGATTCAATTCCTGTTCTACCAGTATGGGGAACTGATTCATCCTCTCAAATGTCAGTTTCATTATTTTTATATATGGAGAAGTCAATACAGGGCTTCTTGATGTTCAAATGTAATCATTTGTGCACATAGAAGGCACATAATTGGTGCCCGGTTCGTTTTAGTGTAATTTAGTCAATAACTGAACTGTAGCCAAGTTTCTATATGTCTAATTCATTCCAAATTCAAAACAACCATGAATACAGTTAAAATTGCTTATTTAAACATATCTTGCATACTTTTTTAATCCGAAAAATATAGAAGGAAGATTTTTTTACTAATTTTTCTGGAATTCCTCATTTTGCAGCTCTTGAATGAGAACTACTAGATCCATCCAAAAGTTTAGTGTTTGGTCAACGTTCATCTTGAGTGCTTTTTTACGTTTCTAACATGTATGGATTTTCATACCTCTGAATATTTATTCCTCAAGTTTTACCACTTCCTCAAGAAAGAGCTCCCTCCTTCCTCCTCTCAAACGATTCATTTCCAACCTTTCTTCTCAACTATTTAGCTTATTTAGATCTCTCTGTTCTCTGAGGCTCTGTCCTCTAGTGTTCGTGTGGGCATCTGTCTCCCTATGTATAGGGTTTTAATCTAGTTGGGTGGCAAATTTCTTGACAGCTGTGATTTTTTTATTTCCCCCAAACTCTTAGCACAGTAGTGGGCCCATAGTAAATGTTCAACGTGGATATGCTAGTTGGACTTCATTGAAAAAATGATCTCACTTCAAGTACCTGAACCAGTGACAGGTTATAAATACAAAAGCTTGGGTTTGATGCTCGTTTACCTCTTGTCAAATCCTGAGATGTCAATTCTGATAGCTTACACCAAAAAGGTACCAATGGTGACCATTACTCCAGAACTTCAAAAAGTCTTCCCTACTGTCACTTGTCCTAACTTGAAGTTTCTTCATTTCTGAACCATGTTTCATGAAAAGAAGGCTTGGAATGTATTCTTCTTGAGATAAGCACGTCATCTTTCTTAAGATATTTTCATAAGGTTAAAAGAATTAATCAGTATATACCAGAGCCAACTCTTGGTTAAAGGCAGAAGGAGGAACTGGATTTTATTTGGAACAGTTTCTCACTTGAATAAATGTTTCTGAAGTAAGTAAGCAGAGGTAGTTCCATCTAAAATTTGGAGAGGAGACAGGAGAAGAATCAGAGCAGAGAAGCAGGAAGGAAATGGTCTAACTTTTCAGCTGTCAATTTTAAATTCTTTGCCTGTGCATATGCATTTCAGACGTGATACGAGTGCAAGAGTTATAGGTGCAATGCATCACTCTTCTTCTAGAGTCAGTTTATTATTCATCCCTGCATCACAGTATCTAGTACAGAGACACAAAAACATTGTAGTATTGAAAAATTATTCCTGTGTGACTCTGTGACTCCTTTCTTCAGAGATAAGTTTATTGATCAAGGTAAAATAGGGCCAAGTTAAAATCTGACAACTCAGTGAGAAGTGGTACTAAGAGAAGATGTTGGGTCACAAAATGGTATCCCTGGGCTCAGGTTCCCACTCCATGCTTACTCAGCCGTTAGTGGTGTGATATACCACTCAACCTCTGCGATCCTTAGCTTCTTCTTTCAAATATGAGGATGTTAAATCTCTAGGCTTTTTTCCCCCTAATTTTAAAACATTTTTGATTCTCTCTTAGATTAAAAAAATTCTTCAAAATAATTTCATTTATACCTCCTTTTATTTAAATAAATGTTGGTAGATTTACACCCTGCGGTAAGCATTTAAAAAATCATTCTTTTCTTGGATTTTATATTTGATTCAATCTTGACAGCATCTGTAAGAAGAGTGGAGAAGAGATAAACATTTATGGAACTCATCTTATGAGCCAAACCTTTCACTTCTATTTCATTCTTGAAAAAGCTTTATGAAGTGGAAATTTTCTCCATTTTACAATTAAGGAAACAGAGAAGTCTAGTAACATGATGAAGGCCACTGAGCAGGTAAGGGCTGGCCACGCCAGGCTTCCTTCTCAGGCCTGTCTGATTTAAAACTCTGTGTTCTTTCTAGCACAGGATACTGGCATTCTGTAAAAGAAACAGGTATTCCATTCAACAAGTGGAAAGACAGGTATAGAGAACCAGGGGATTACCTCAGTTTTGTAGTAAATCAGCATTTTTGGTGCCAGAAAGAAAACTCAAGTTTTTTGGAATAGAGTATAAGCTCAGACAGGCAGGCAGGGTACAAGAAAATATCCTTTTATATGATAACTTTATTTCTATTTGATGCCAGTGTTGAATTTTCAGGGTTTTAAAATGGTGAGTTATAAAAGAATTGAGCTTGTTTTCTTTATATATTTTTTATTAAATTCTAGTAATACACTGGTGTTTTCTAGAGACTATCTCAACATGAACACATTTTATACCCTAGAAATTGATAAAACTCTTTACTTTTTCCAAACCACACATCCTAGCCTCCCTGCCTCCCCAAACCTCTGCCTCACACATACTTGATATCTGGAGTATGAAAAGATTTAACCTGGAACTTTATTTCTTGTCATAAAAAGTAATTTTCTTATCTGGAAATAATTTGTAACGCTGGACAGCACTGTACTTCCTCTTGCTTCAGGAAAGAATTTTTTCCCGCTGAACTTCCGTCGTGTTGGTTTTTTCATCCTCTGTGTTTGTGTTGGCTTTTAGCCCAACGTTCCTTTCTGTGCATTTGGCCTGGTGCCATGTGAGAGTCAGCACTTAGACTAGAAGTATCGTTTTCCAACACACAGAATCAAAAGGAAAACTCCGCCTCTTACACCCACTACTAATTACCATAATACTACAAAACTGACTAGTTGCATCATTTACCCATCACTTGTGAATTTCTGCTTTTCACAGCTCTCATTCCTGCAAAGAATGAGTTTGAGCCACATGGAGAATATGCCTTTAAGCCATTCAAGTCCTCAAGCAGCACAGAGACCATCTTGGAAGCAATGGCTCCTCTACTCAACAATAGTTATTTTGCTATTGCTTTGCTCCTTCGGTACACTAGTCCTTACTTTTCTCCCACTCAAGGTAAGGGGACAATAGTACCTAAGGTTGCTATTTATTATAATCCTTTTTGCTTTTGTAAGTCTAGTTATTATCATTGTCACTTAGTATTGTTTGAGCCAGTTGGAAGGAAGAGGCATGTGGGTATAGGTCATGTAAATATAATTCCAATTTTGTCATGGCATATGGCTTTTGAGGCTTATATAAGTGTTTTGAAATGAAAAGTATTAGAAAATGCTAAATGTTAGCTGTGGAACTGAGTTAGATGGAGAGAATCACTTAATTAAGTCAGTCAATTGACAGGTGCCAGTGGAGTATTTTCTCCCTTTCTGCACCTCTGCTAAACCCTCTTGGTGGAATAAAAAAGGAGCAAAATGTGATGCTTGCCCTCAAGGAATGGGATGCAAGCTGTAGTCTTATTGAGGGAAAAGATAATGGAAGATAGAACAAGGTAAGTGACAGGTGGTTATGTGTCTTTGAGGAGGAAAATGACATCGAACTAGGAGTAAGAAGATCTGGATTCTGGTTCTAGGTCTCCCAATAACTAGCTGCATGAATTTGAGAAAGACATTTAATCTTTCTGGTTCTGTTTCTTTTCTTCTGAAAAATGGTGGTAGGAGAATGGATTTGTTTATTGTAACGTCAGTGATTAATAATTAATCTAAGGGTAGTATAGAATATAAATGTTTTAGGAATTCAAAAGGTAGGGAATGACTTTGGGCTAGGGTGATCAGGGAAGGCTTCAAGGAGGAAGGAGGAAGCACATTCCTATTTGGGAAGCCCCTGGTGCTTATCAGGAATTTCCCATTGAGCTCCTGTCCAAGTTTTGGGTCTAGGGAAGGGAATGGAGACACGTTAGGTTCTTATTAGGTTTTTCTGATCATTGACTACATAGCACTGACCAAAAAGAAAATAGGAAATGCTTCATTTACTTTAGGATTTAGCCCATTTCTGGGTACATTTGAAGATTCTGAGCCTTGGGGAGAATAGGGTGGTATATGCCCATCTAAGAAAGGGCTGTGATATGAAATTAGTGACTTCGGAGACATTTTTCTGAGGGGATTGGCCAGCAAAGATTTCAAAGATATGGTTCTACTACTTAAGATGTTTGAAAGCAATTGAGAAAAGATGCAGGAGGAAGCAGTACACTGTAGTTGCTGGTGTTCATTTAGTTAGGGCAAGTGTAGCTTTGGCTAAGTTTTACACAGTAGCCCATTAATTTGTATTCTATAACTATACACAAGAGTATGCAACAGAGGCATTTCTAATCACATCCCCACTCTCTCAAGGAATGTATCTAACAGAAGCCTGAACTTTCTGGAGCAGAGGAGCTTTGAGCAGAAAGAAAAGAATTGTCAGGAATTCTGAGTGTTTAGATTTCTGAAGAGGGGAAGAGTGAAATAACAATAGCTTAAATTTGGAAGTGCTTTTTTCCTTCTAAAAACCACCTCAAGTCTTATTAGCCAGATGACCCTAAAGAACACAGGATATGTTGCAGGTGTCATCCGTTCCTGCACATGACTGTGGGAACCAGTGCACAGAAGGAAAGGCAGCCGGTGGCTCTTGGAAAGGGAAAGAGGAAGTGTAATAATGTCAGAGTCATCTAGGACACCTCTTGCCAGAATTGAACTTGATCAATCCCATGGGTTTGAGCTCTGATTCTGGATTCTCTCTCCAGACAACATGCAGCTGCTCAATGAAAGGTTCTGTCTCTAAAGAAATAGCCCAGAGTTTATGCCAAATTTGGAGAAGTTTAAAAGATGTTCAGGATATTGTCCTCACAGGATGCCATGGAGGCTTATTTCCCATGGGAAAAGCCAATGGCCTGGCCAACAATGCAATGATATTAGCTCATGTATTCTACTTTCCTCTTGCCTACACCTCCCTTTCCCTTTTGGCCACAAACGACTATCTTTGGAAAAGAGGACTGAGTGGCTAGCGGATGCTGAGTCATTATGAGGTAGCCGCTTCTACCTTCTTACAATATCTCACAGTTTATATTATTTTGGTCCCCACTCTAGTTTTTATACACAAAATCCCCCTTCCAGCTTCTCTAGGCACTAATCCAAAAAGTGTTAGGAAGATTGGCTTTTTCTAGACCAACAGAAATTTTCTTGGGAGAAATTTTTTTTCTTTCTTTCCCCCTTTTTTCAGAAGACGTTCAACTGAAAGGACTGGCTATAAGCTCAAGGAGTTTGGTCTACCCCTCAGGGAAAATAATTTCACGAAAGTTGTCTCTAAAAAACCAAATGTTCAGGAGAGTCCCCTGCTTCAGTGAAATGAAGGATACTTCCAAAGGGGAAGCTATGCTTGTACTTAAAAGCGGAGTAGATTCTATTTCCAAATGATGATCTGCTTAGGGTTAGTTTAAGTTGGATTAAGTTTCAGCCATTTGAACCCAACTATGTAAATCTAAGCTTAAATCAAAACAGGGTTATAAGAGCAACTGATCCTTCTAAGCAAAAATGAACTAAACTAAATTAAACTGAGAGTCCCATATGCATCTTTATCAGTGGATATTTACTCCTTCTGAACATCACCAGAACTATAAATAGAAACTACCCCCACAGAGTGGTGGGGGTGAGACTTTTGAGTCATAGAGGCTCTGTTTGGATCTCAGCCTAGCCTTTTATCAGCTGTGTAACCTTGGGCTAGATACCTGACCCCTCTCATACTCATTTCCTCATCTGCAAATGAGCAAGCCAATTCTTATCTCATAGAGTTGTGGTAAGGATTCATGAGACAGTACAGTGCCTGACGCGTAGTAGCCTCTCAGTAGATTGTAGTGATTCATATTGACACCATTATTATTAATGACATTACAGTGAAGATAAATTTCAAAAGACTTTTTAACAAAATGGATAGTCCTTGCTTATCTATTTCACTTTCTTAGCCAAAGACTATACCTTGCTGCCAAATAGATGATTTTTGTAATTAGATAGATTTTCATTTGTGGCAATAATTAGAGAATATCACAATGGTGGTTTCTGTAGCTCTAAACGGACATTAAAGCAGCCCATGGTACAGTATCCAGGATTTCTGTCTCTTGCAATTAATTTGTCTGTGGCTTTAGGTTTCTCTGCATGCTTTTCATACATGAGAGTAGACAGCAGAGATGCCATCTGTGGCACATATTTTGGCACTCATTTACATTTAGATTGTTACCAATTGCTTCATGTGTGTCATCATGTCTTTCTAGAAAGAATATAAACTTCTTAAGAGGCAAGGACCATAAATTACATTTGTTTCTCTTGCTTACAATGCTAGTAATAACATTGAGAATATACATGTTTAAAGTTTTGTTCAAATCTTTATTATAATTAGTATCATTATCAAAACAACTAATATTTAATAAGCAGGACCAGACAGAATACCTGGCAAAGACCTTTATAAGAATTACCTCATTTAAACTCATAAACAACCTCAATGAACTAGGTGCTATTATATACCCCATTTTATAAGTGAGGAAATTAAAGTTGAGTCCCTCTTACATGCCTATCATGGGTTAAACTAGATTGAATTTCAACATCTCTTCTAAGAAATCCCAAACTGATGATAAAATAATTGCAAAAGCAAAAACAACTGTAGGAATCCAGTGATTTATCTCCTAGAATAGCAGCTTCCAAAATTTTGATTGCACCTCCTTATCAACAAAATGTTTTTGAGTACACTCTCTATATATATGCTAATTATTATGTTATATACAAGTACTAATACTATGTGTCTTAAAAAGATACACAAATTAGAAACGTATAAGGATAAACCAAATAATGTGCTTAACATAGTTTATTCACAGTGCAAAACCATCTTGTTTTTACTAAAATATTATATTTCAGTAATATGTTAATATATAATATAAACATTTCTAAAATAATTGAAATAACATTCTAGTAGAGTAATTTGATAAATGTATTTCTTTTATTTTCTTAACGTGAGTTTAACACTTTGTGTTATAATAATTTGAAGGTTATATGCTAAGTTATTTTACCTTGATTTACGGTTTTTGACTGCCATAACTGAAAAATTACCTCACAAAGATATATAGATCAAAATGGAAGAATGCATCTTTAAGTATGCTTACCACGAATGACACTAAATTTTCAATCTATCATTCAATGATGCAAAGCTGTTTTTTTTTTTTAATTAAAGTGATATAGTCCCCACTCCATTCATGTCTTTCCTTCCTTCCTTATACAACTTAAATTCCATGCTCCATAATTATAATCCTTCCCTTGCGTTAACCCACTCACTTGCTTCTCTCTCTCTCTGTTATACTCGAATATTGAAACCTCAATCCTGGAAAATCCCCAACACTGATTAAATCCAGCTGCTCTGTGTCTTTCACAGTTGAATGAGGCTGAGGAAAAACATAAGGCCTTGTTGAAAGGTCTTACTTTAAATTCATGTCCACTAACTTCAAGAGGGACTTCAGCATTGCTCTGTAAACCACCTACATTTCCCCCATCCATTTACCCTCCTCTACTGGACTGTTTCATTCCTTTGACTGTTTTTTTGTTTGTTTGTTTTTGTGAGGAAGATCAGCCCTGAGCTAACATCCATGCTAATCCTCCTCTTTTTGCTGAGGAAGACTGGCTCTGAGCTAACATCTATTGCCAATCTTCCTCCTTTTTTTTCCCCCAAAGCCCCAGTAGATAGTTGTATGTCATAGTTGCACATCCTTCTAGTTGCTGTATGTGGGACACGGCCTCAGCATGGCCGGAGAAGCGGTGCGTCGGTGCGCGCCCAGGATCCGAACCCGGGCCATGGGTAGCGGAGCGCGTGCACTTAACCACTAAGCCACGGGGCCGGCCCCCCTTTGACTCTTTAAACATCCAGTGTCTCCTCTCCATTCTCACTCTCACCTGATAACCTTGCCACCAGGTTCTGTGAGAAAATAGAAGCAGGCAGGCAAGTAGTTCCAAAGCTCCCCATCATATCTACCAGTCACCTGCAATTTTGTCCACGTATCCTGTGTTTCCCTCTTGTCACTATGTATGAATTGTTCATGCACCTGTCTAAGGCCACCCATGAACTAGATTCTATCCCCTCTTACCTACTCAAGGGCATTGCTCCAACAATGATCTAGCTCTTACGTAGCTCTTACATATTACCCCTCTCTGCTTTACTGGAACATTCCTATCAAATGGCAACTGATAACCATGTTGTCATTTCTCTCATAGTAAAACAAACAAGAAATCTCTTTGATCTCTCATCCCCATCTAGGTTCCATGCAATTTTCCCCCTCTACTTCTCACTGTCTCTGCTGCTAGCACCTTGGTCAGAGGCACATGCTTTCTCGCCTAGATGGTTACAATGCTCTCACAGCTTGTCTCACTGCTTTTACTCTTGCCTCTCTTTAATTTATTTCTAGCATAGCAGCAAGAGAAATCCTATAAAAGAAAAATGTGCAACATCTTTAAGTTCAAAAATTCTCTTAAGCGCTTTCCCACAAGGCAACCAATGAACTTTATAGAGCACAAAAAATTTTTATGGTCATACTTTATCTTACTATTAACTATTTTAGAGCCTTTAACATTTAAATACTTGTATTTATAAAATTAACCGCACTGATGGCCTCTTGTAGCCTGTAAACTGTGGTATGTTGCAATAGTTTGAAACTGAGTTCTCCTCAGAGAATCTCAGTTACTGTATACGATGCATGATTGCCTGAATATTAAATGAGTGGCTTTATCAATCTGAGTTGTAAATATTTCTATAGCTTAATTTCTTATTTTTTTAAATAAAAATAAACATAAATAGAAATTCTATTGTTTTCTTCTCACGTGCCAATGGATCACCTTGCACAGTGACCAGAGTGCAGAGACTACAGTTTATAGAAAATTTCTATAGCTCAAGAGAAGAAGAGTCCAAGATCAAATAGTTGTCCTGTAGGTAAAGGTTAGGTGGGTGGAAAGAGATCTTAACCTTTGCCTATAAGATCCAAAAAAGTAGCTAGGCAATGAAAGGCAAAGCATGGAGCCAGTCATCTGTAAAGGGAAGCTGAGACAGCTGAGACAAGGTAGAGGGAGGGAGTTTTTTCTTATATGGCTGAGGAAAAGAAGTTTGTTTCAGGAATCTGCAACTCTGTAGAATAAATCAGTCAAGAAAGTTGTGACACTGCCATCATCCTGACCAATTCCTCTTTTTCTTCCCCTACAGACTGCCAATGAGCCCTGTGTAGCTAAGTTTGGTGAGTAACCGGTCTTGCATGCATCCTTTTTACTTATTTTAGTATTTGGTGCAGGAAAGCAAGCTCCAGTGTTGTCAAGGAAGCCAGTATTCTATTTTCTTCATTCTTCAGCTACTGTTTATAACTGCTTATCTTGTGCCAAGCAGTTATCTAAGAGCTGAGGCTTCAGAGGTGAACCACACAGACAGGCCCATGCCCTGATGGAGCTTACACTCAAGGTCACGCCTTTGGGCAGGAAGGCACATCACTCTCATAAGCCTGGGAATCTGAGATCCAGGAATCTACTTTTAATTCTGTGTTTTAATAAGCATAAGTTTTAGATTTCTACAAAGTTTCCCTCTGACAAACCCAAAGTCCTTCTCACATTTCACATATCGCTAGTGTCCAGTAGAGTTTGTGGGGGTGTCATTTTTGTTTCCAAATGAATAGTAGAGGAATGAGAGCTAGGGGAATGGCCACTTCCTCTTCTTTCTCCTCTTCTCTTAGTTTCTGAGTCACTTTCCCTTGTAGCGACCTGGTATTTGCTTAGAAAACACGTTCAAGTTTACATTTACACTGAGCCTTAGGGTATTTCTTAGAATACATACAAAATTGAAAATAAATACATTTGGGGTTGTTTACAGGTTTCAGGCCAAACACACATTTTCAGCTGACAGCAGAACATTTCTAGAGTTAACGGCAACCCCTGTTTCCCTACACAGCTCAAACTGCCAGCCTTCCTTGGCTTGTGGGAAGTAGGGAATCTCTTTTTCCTTGTCTCTGTCATTATGATTTGTTTTTCTAGTGAATGAAGTGGAATTCATGATATGTTTGAAATTCCTCTTGATGTGGTAAAAGTTGAGAAGCTCAAGTGATGCTAAAGTGTTCTTTAAGGGGCCCCTATCACAGAATTAAATAAGAGAGCCAGTGACACTTCTTTCGGGTGACTTGCCTGTTGCCTACCACATGTCAAGCAGGAAGAAATTTACTAAGCTCTGGGCTCATTGGAGATACAGGGAGACTTTGATTCTTGCTCTAATGATCTTCCTTCATTCTCCTTCAGAATCTACTCTTGGAGTCTTATGTCAGTCATTTATAGATAAATAAGAATTTAAGTCAATGTGTTACTCTTCCAGGGTATCTTATCAAGATTTCTTTCTAATTATGGGATAAAGGCTTTGCTTTCATAGCAAAAACTATGGAGAATTAGAGAACAGCCTAGATAAGTATCTTGGGTGGTAAAAGCACTCCCTGAGGCTCTGAAATCACACTACTGCATAAAAACAATTAACATTAGGAAAATGGATAAATTCCATATATACCTAGGAAAATAGATGACTAGGTCTTAACCCTTTCCCCATCCATTAAACTAGGGATAGTTATATTTAAATAGTCAAATAATTTCCATTTATAAACTCATGAATTTACCAGTAACTATTTTTGGACAGTTTGTATAATGATATCCCAAGTGGATCTTGAATGATATGTATCCAAAACTTATGAGAAGAGGCGTAATTTAGACACAATGCATCTAATTCAGGAACACGGATGTATCATTCAATCAAGATATATTTATCTTTTAGGTGCTGAAGATATAGCAGTGAACAAAACAGAGAGGTACTTCTCCTCAAAGACGTTATATTCAAGTGGGTATAAGACAGACAATCAACAAATGAACAACTTGGGGCCGGCCTGGTGGCACAAGCAGTTAAGTGCGCATGCTCCGCTGCAGCGGCCCGGGGTTTGCCGGCCTGGATCCTGGGTGCACACCGAGGCACCACTTGGCAAGCCATGCTGTGGCGGCATCCCATATAAAGTGGAGGAAGATGGGCATGGAGGTCAGCCCAGGGCCAGTCTTCCTCAGCAAAAAAGAGGAGGATTGGCAGATGTTAGCTCAGGGCCAATCTTCCTCACACACACACACACAAAAACAAATGAACAACTTAATTTATAATATGCTAGGTGATGAACACCTTCCATGAAGGAAACTAAAGCAAAGTAAAAGAGTGACAGGCGAGTACTATTTTATATAGATTGATGAGGAAGGTCTCATTGATAAAGTGATACATAGTAAATCATATTTACGTAGAAAAGCATGAATATGCATCCTGGACTGCCAACTCTGGTTATCACAATCCTGATGTGTGATTCCTCTCTCCATCCCTCCTTCTTTCTTTCCTTTCACAAATATTCATTGACAAGAGATGCAGTGTCACCTAAAACATAACCCAGTTTTCTATTCCAAATCCATTTCCTTAGAGATCCCCAAGGAAGAGACACACTTAGGATTTGCAATTTCCCTAAAACAAGGAGTAGAAGCTACTTAAAATATTAAAATTGTGATAGTAGAGAACTAATATAGACCAGGTGCAGAAACAATGTGGAAGTGGGAAAGAATTATAATCAAGAAGGGAATGAAATAGTTAAATAACTATGCCTTCCATTTTTTTTCTCCCTTGTAAATTTATTATAGGACCATTACCTTCAAAATGGCAAATGGCATCTCCGGAGCCTCCCTGCGTGCATAAGGTAGCGGACTGGAAGCTGAGAATACTTCAGAATGGCTTGTATTTAATTTATGGCCAAGTGGATCCCAATACAACCTACAAGGAAGTAGCTCCTTTTGAGGTGCGGCTATGTAAAAACGAAGACATCATACAAACTCTAACAGACAATTCTAAAATCCAAACTATAGGAGGGACTTATGAATTGCATGCTGGAGATATAATAAACTTGCTATTCAACTCTGAACATCAGGTCTTGAAAAATAGTACATACTGGGGGATCTTATTGCTAGCAAAACCCCAATTCATCTCCTAGAGACTTGATTTGGTCTCGTCCTCTTCAGCACATGCAAATACACCGGTAGGTGGTTTAAAGGAGGCAGATTTTCAACACCTACAGTTTGTCTGGGTACACAAATCAACACAGACAGAACTCCTCTGCATGTGAATTTTCATCTCTCATGCTTATCTGAAAGAGACTCAGAGGAAGGGCCAAAGACATTTGGTTACCCCTGACATTGGGTTGGCAAAGACACTTTACTAATCCATGATCAAATAAATATGGGTGGCTAGGGGACAGAAGCTCTTCAAAGAGTCTTCATCTAATTCTTGAATCCTGGGTGGAAAAATGAAGTCTTATTCGCACGGGAGCCTTACCTGGTTTGCAAAAAAGGTCCAGGGCAAGTAGTCTGGCCTTGTTCTCGTATTCTTGGGCTGCTCCACTTCGTTCTTCCTGTATTCCCATCCCTGAAACCCTCCTGATAAAAAGCGGTCAGACTGGCAGAGTGGCCACAGATATGCCAAGAACACCCCATTTTATTTTTATTTTTTTTGTGAGGAAGATTGGCCCTCAACTAACATCTGCCAGTCCTCCTCTTTTTGCTGAGGAAGACTGGTCCTAGGCTAACATCCATGCCCATCTTCCTCTACTTTATATGGGACGCCGCCACAGCATGTCTTGACAAGTGGTGCGTCAGTGTGTGCCCCGGATCCCAACCGGCGAACCCTGGGCTGCTGCAGCGGAGTGCGTGCACTTAACCGCTTGCACCACCATACTGGACCCAACAACACCCCATTTTAGATGTGATGATGTTAGAGGATGGAGAACAGTCTAGAGAACTATTGGGTCAGTGGCACAGGTGGCATGGAATGGAACACACTTACTTGGGAATTTTCCTTGATTTCATCATACTCAGGATGCAGGGTGCTTTATGAAACTAGTTGTTCAAAGCCCTTCACATAGGGCTTCATGACAACTTGTCATTTGTGTATGTGTCTAAAATTGTCAATGGTAAAGAAAGAGTAATCATTTGTATTCATGAGATGTAATCCCAGTAAGTTGTATTACCAGTACTGTATTTTGTCATGTAATGATTTCATATTTTTTTAGCTGGCTTTCCACAGTTCACAAAGTGCTTTCATGTATCACATGGCAACTCTATGAAGTTAATGGGGCAGGTATTTTTGACACAATTTTAACAACGAGAATACAGAAGCAGATGGAATATGGGTAACTTGCCTCAACCCATAGAACTAGTGATTAACAGGGCCAATGGGCTTCCCACTGTATCACACTGTCTCAGCTTTAGAGTTGGTATATCACTATCGTGTTATAAGTCTATCGAGTTTAGCAGATTCAATTTTCAGGAAGTATATTCCCTTTCAGCCCAAGGTGGGTAGAGGGAAGCTACAACAGATCTTTCCTTTCTCAGCGAACTTCTTTTCCTTTTCCTGCGTGGAGCAGGGAGTCTAAGGGTGTTGCTCAGGGCTTACTGCAACCAGATTCCTTTCCTCACCTTGAAGATCCTGTCTTGGTCAAGTGTTAACTTCTAAAAATAATGAATAGCACTCAATTCAATGACAGCCTGCTAAAGTTTTGAATTCTGTTAAATTAATTAGCTGCTTGTGGTTTCTTTTTGAAAGGTATGTAATATGATTACATGATAACCTGACTTAAAATATTTATAGATATTTGTAAAAAGTTATATGTTAATTAATACTATCATATGTAAAGCTAATTTAGAAATTTTTGTACTGTGTGCAACAAAAATCACGTGGGAGGAGGCTAAGTCTGAGGCCAAGATGTTTCTTGGTAAGCATTTTTTTTAAACACCTGCTGAGTAGCTGTAGGGCCAAAGACATGGATGCCTTATTCCTCTTGCATTTGTATATCTTCTCAGGAAATTAGAGATATATCACATATATTTATGGAAACTTGGTGTTATTGATTGTTGTTGGGTTGTAAGCAGCAGTGTGCTGGAATGGTCTAGCACTAGCTCGTGAGAGCTGATTGTTAAATTTTCAGAAATTTTGCGATGGTTATTAAATACAGCCATCCTGGAAATTGGCCATGGTGGAACTATTCATACCATGGGAATTGGCAAACGCTACAAATCAGGGTCTTTCTTTTTGGAGTTCTGTTCACCAGCACACCACTGTTTGTAAAACACTCCTTCTTAATGACTCCTCTCTGCTCCTGCCACATTCCTGAGACACTCAAGGCAGACAAAGGAGAGAGTGAAATTGTCTTACCCCCAGCAAAAGCCCCACGTGATGGTGATTTCTCAGGGCAAGAAGAGGGCTCGGCAGCTGCAGCCAGAGAGACGGCTACAATAGATGATCTTCGAATTTCCCTGGTGTTGTAATTTCAGTCTTTGTTTTCAATGTATATTCTGTTTACTTGTTTCTTCACACAGTGTTTACATTTTAAACCTTAATAAAACGTATGTTGGTAAGTGGACTGTAGCTGACTTATCTGTAGGTTATAAGACTAGAGTTATTGATCTAAACAACAGGACGGTGTGTCAGAGAAATCCTCGCCCATAGGAAACACTGCTTGGAAAGTGTTTTGGTTACAGCTGTCCCAATTTCTGATGGGTTAGTCAGACAGTTTCACTATCTGACTTTCACCCACCTCCTCAACTCCAACCCACCCACCCTCACCATCAAAGCCGTCACCAGCCCTTTTCACACTTATTGTTTTTCACCTTCCTTTTGCCCCATCAGAGCTATCCTAGAGTGTGTTATGTCACTATGGGTTAAGTCTTTGCTTCTGAAGATGGCAGGTAATTGAAAAGTGATGCAGTCTTGTGCATTTTAAGGAGCAGACTAACTCCTTAGATGAGTATATCTGTGCTTCTTGGAGATGAAATTCCTGCTTTTGTGTGTCCTATCTCAAAGAAGTAATCTCATTGGTGGGGGCTGGAGGACATTTTTTTATTAGAGAGAAAGAGAAGCAAAAACCTGATGAACATATGGGTGAGGGGTCTGAGGATTACCTTAAAGTCCAAGTTATAAATGATGCCTTGGCACATAGGCTTTCATTGACCTGAAAGGATGCAACTCTATTTTGGGGGCCACTTGTGACCCTGACAGAGTCACTCCACTGGTCATGACCCTCCTGTGAGTCCCACATCCATCTACAGGAAACTTATACCCATGGCTTGCCCCTACAAACTCAGAGAGGACGAACTCACCTCAATGTAGCAAGATTCTCCCATCTCTGCTACCAAGGAATTGCCCTCTCTTCCTGTCAGATTTTCTGAGGGGTCAGACTCGAGCCCTCTGTCGGCTTTAGCTTTCTCCCAATCTCCCAGTTGCAAAAACCATATTTTAAAGCTCTTTTAGGGGTTCCCTTGAAGCCCTCAATCTGACTTGAGGTTAGAAAGTTTCATTGCTCCCCATCCCTCCTGCAAAGAGAGTGGGCGAGGACTCACAGCCCGGCCACTGCTCAATCTTTATATAAATGTGATCACCATCTCTCCTTCTCCCCACTCTGGCCTCATTTTATGTCCTTGATCCAGTTGAAGTGTCTAAGAATAGTGGGGACGGGCATTTACCTTCATTCCTTTTGTCAATTCTGCATATTGGCGGGGGCAATTGTCTTACTCTCACTTTGATATCTAGGTACCAATCATATTACGCATGAGTTGAAACTGAGTCATATGAGTCCCACTTTAACATCCAGTTATACTCTTATATGTCTAAAAGGGATCTGGGAGGCCTACAATAAAGTGCAGACATAGAAAAAGCCCCAAACCATCATTACAGGAGCAATAAAATAAGAGCTTAATACAAAGGCCAAGGGAGAGGAAAATTATTGTTCAGAAAAGTCGGACTTAAGAACATTGTTACAAATGAACATAAAACATTGTTTTTAATTTCTTGAAAGTCAAGGAAAATTAGAGAAACATGATGGAAATAGAGTTGTTTTATCTATTTTTTTTTTTTAATGCACGCTGTTTTATTAGGAGAAAGAAACTTTTCCCCAGTACTCAGCTCTAAGCAGACTCTGTCTCCAGATCCACAAGGAATGCTCTAGATAGCAAAATGCAGACTCTTCCATTGGTTTATTTGAATCTACATGTTTCTGTTAGCACTTAACAACTCTAAGAATTCAAAACAGTTTAGTTGAGTTATCACTCTAAGACACACAGCAGCATTGGTGAATCCCATTAATAGTGTTCGGGAAAATAGGCTAGAGGGTTTATGTGACCTCTTCAAAGAACCCAGGAAGTGTTTGGCAACAGAAAAATGAAAACTCAGTGAACAGGGTCCATTAGATTAAACCAACTTCCTCATTGATTCAGTTGCATAATCAGAGTAGGAATCTCTGATTTCAGTGACCAGAGAGATTGTCTCTACCCAGCTTTAGTGTTGTGCAGGGACACCACAGGGGTGGCATGTTCTTCATGCAGTGCCTCAATACACAGAGTCTGAGCTGGACTGAGGTGAACTGGTGAGTTTAAGTTTCTTAGAATGGAAGGCACAGAGAGCCTCTTCATCTTCCCTCCCTGCTTTTGGGTTGTACCTCTTATCCAATGGACTAGTCTCTGAGAGAAATCTGATGAATGAGTGTCCAGGGTCTGACACAGTGCCTGGCTCATAGTCCTAATTGTCTACTGAGTGAACAAATAAATGAATCATAAATTTGAGTGTTGGTATTAAGTTAGCAATATAATATGTATTCTGGATAATAGAATCCAGTGGGCAAAACCTTCAGTCTCCCTTTTTTTTTACTGTCTCCCATCCTATCACCTACTGTTCTCAAGTGCTCTCTTCTTTCCCCATCAAAACCTGTTCTCAGGAACATTGTTAATGTAATTGAGAAAAAGAACTTTATAAACTCACTTGCACTAAGGAAAAATGGCCAATAATCTACCTTGCATCACTAAAACAGGACAAAATCCTATTTGTTTTAATCTTTGCTAGGAAGATGCACCAAGAAGAAACTCTCTTTACAACATCCTAAGGCAAAACAATTTACTCAATGATCAGTGGCAGAGTTTTTCAAAGTGAGGTCTATGGACTCTACATCAGATTCACCTAAGATGTTTGGAAAAAAAACAAAACAAAACGTGATTCCTAGGCCCCATTCATAGGCTACTTAATAAACGTTTCTAGGAGTGAGGCCTAGGAATCAAATTTTTAACAAGCTCTGACCCATAGATTATTCTTATGCATGCTACAGATTAAGAACCATTGCTTTATGGCATGCAACTTTGAATCTCAGCTGACTATTTCTCTAAGTATTTAAAAAGATTCAAAGCTTCTAAACAAAGAAACAAAGTAAAAAAGCAAAACAAAAACAAAAAAACCCAAAACCAACATTGATGACATGCATGAGATTTATCATAATCCATCTCTCATCACAAAAGCAAATGGCCTTCTATCCTCTATTAAGGTCTGAACGAAGGTCAGGCTCTTCACTATTCATATCCTAATACCAACATTGGCACCTTAACGTTGGCAATCTAAGGCATATGAGACTTGCCACAATCAATATTACATTATCTACCTCT